AAATGAAAATGGAGCCCTGTAAATTATATGTTAGAAGTTTGAAACATCAACAATTGAGATATATTTAATCTTTAAAACCTTGGTATAAAGCTAGAGAGCTGGCCTCTGAGTCAGGAAGACCTCAGATCCCACCTCTACAGTATCTTGGCTGTGTGGCCCTGGGCAAGTTATTTAACATCCTTTCCCACCCTGCTGACCTCTTGGATTTCATAATCTCTAGAAACTCATTATTCTGGGAGATGGAATCAGCCCCAAAACTCAAACCTCAGATTATTTCCCACCCTAGCAGCAAGACTTCATCATGTTCCCCTTGCTGGGTACTCCACACTCACCTCTACTCCACCCCTTTTCAGTTCGTTTTTATAAGCTGTCTGTCTCTATTAGATTGTGAGCTTCTTGACGGCAGGGGCTGTCATACCTTTCTTTGTATCTAGAACACTTAGCACAGTGTCTAGTATGTGCATAGTAGGCACTTAATAATTGATAATTAACTTCCAAGTGGACCAGGCAACTCTTCTGGGATCCAATCAATCAATCAGTAAACATTTATTAAGCACCTGCTATGTGCCACACTATGCTGAACACTGGGATACAAAAAGAGGCACAAAACAGACCTTGCCCTCAAGAAGCTCACAATTAATGGAGAAGAACTTGCAATCCAAGATCTAGAATGGTTACCTGTCTGAATTAGCAGAGGACGGTCCTTCACTTGTAGTTCTTTATACCAGTAAAATCATAGGTCCGGTCAAAAAAAAGTTTATAAAAACAGAAGACAATATTTTATTTGAGAGATCAATCACTTCTGTTGAAGATTAAGTCAGAAACTATCCCATATTCAAACATACAATAAGCAATTTTAAGTATTATATTCAATGCTTTATGCACTTACTGTATGCCAAGATGTCCTAATGTGGTTCAGACATGTTAAAAGGAGCTTAGCTAGAAGCCATTTCTCCTCTATTAGGTGGTCCCACAGTATTGGACTGTATTAAGGATGAGTACTGGTGTGCCTGAATTCATCAGTAAGGAATAGGATGCAACATTTTTGTTGTGAGATTTTCCCTCAAAGTAACCTGGGCTGATCTATAAGACAATCAAGGTTTTGTCCCAGGGTTCCAAATTTAGGGTCCTTTAATGTTACAGAAACAACAGAGCTTGGTGCTTGATTTGGGCTTGGTGTTTTTGTTTGTTTTCTTAGCAGATCAAGGCCTCCTCTTCATCTTTTGGTTTTGGAGACTTGTCTAGGGCACTGAGAGGTTAAGTGAGTTGCCCAGGATCATACAGCCCCAAGTCTTTACCTAAAATAGGTAGCTACCAGATGGTGGGCTAGGGTGAGTAAGCTACTATCTTACCCTGATGCTCATGCCTCACCTGAAGGTGACCTTTCCAGAAGCATTTTCTCTCCCCCCCCCAACATATCTATGTTCTATCTTTTCAACTGTGAATACACTTCATGTTCTCACTATATCTTGCTTTGTGATCTATAAAATGAGACACCATAGTGATGCATTTAGAAATAAATTATGTGGGTTTAAATGTCACTTAGCCCCTGTGTAACCTAAGGCTAGATGGGGGAGTAACTACATGTGACCCCACCCCTGGTCTAGATGATTCTCTGGGCCTCAATTTCCTCATCTGTAAAATGAAGGGGTTAGAGTAGGAGACCTGAAAGGTCTCTTCTAGTTTTAAATATATGATCCTGTGAGATCAAATGGAAATCAGGTAAAGAATCATGGAAGAGGAGGTATTTAGCTATTAAAATCTTTTGAGTTACTTTATATTGGAAATGTATTAGCAACTTCTCTGCACAAATGCATGTCATACTCGTTTCCCACCATGATTCTACCTAGTTAAAAACCCAACTGTGCCTCTCCCAGTGATATATACAGCTCCCAGTGAGCTCAAATGAAATATTATATGGTAGCAGAAAATGAACCTGTTACTTGATTCTGTTTTCCTTTCTACCCTAACACTCATTGCTTGCTACCCCTCAGATGTCTTAGTCTTTTCCATTCCCTGCCCACGCTTGAGCAAACTGCTCTAGTGAATGGTCAGTGACCTTCAGTCTTTTGATACTGCCTGTCTAGGACTGTCAGCAATTTCTGGGTAAAGCTTAGGGTCTGGTTAGCTGCCTTCCCACCAGGATGCTTGAGTACACAGCATCTGTTACCCTGCTGTGTCCCCATCACTTCAGTGTTCAGAAGCACTCTGATTGATAGGCTAGCGGGAGGAAAGCTGGGCAGCCTAGCTTGGACAGACTGTTTTGACCTGAAACCCTGAAATGGCAGAGGCTTCCTATGGCTGTTTGTAAGCAGGGTGCTAATTTTACTCAGTAAAAGTACTTAATTTCACACATTTATTTTTTCATTAAAACATTCCTGCTGCTCAGCCCCTGGGGCCTAGGTTCCTTTCACTTACAGTCTTGAAATAATTTAAATTAGGCTGGGTTAGTTAATATTTAATTTTTTTAAAGACCAATGTGGAGTTAGACAGCTGAGGAAGCAATTTACTATGCACAGTGAGGGAACATCTCCTCGGCATATTTACCTTGGTCATGAACTTGAACTGTCCATTTTCAATAAATGATTTGCAATTCTAATTAATAACTTCATGACCAATTCACCTTGTCTTCCAAACGTGATAAATGAAACCAGGTCCACTTTCTGTTGCCTTTGAACGCATACCAATGATATGGGTGCTTGGAAGGTAATAGCGATTCCAGGAAAATGCCCTAGTTTGGGAATAAAGTGAAGCAAGCAATCAGACATCATCTTGGGAGTGTGATTTCTTTTCAATATATGCAATTCCTAGTGATTTCAATTATGCAGCCACTAGGGCCAGTTGTTATTTTTCTATACACAGACATATTTCAGAGGTCATTTAAAAGCGAAAGTAGTATTCTTTCACCAAACAAGAGACCCACAATTATTTTTCTCCATGGAAACTGTTGGACTATGAAAGCTTTTCTATAATAACCCATCTCTGTGTGAAAAGGAAAGGCTTAAAGAGGGGAAAGAAGCATTGATTAATCAATAGCTGATTTGGGCCAAGTACACTGTCAGAGGGGTAGTGATGGGATGTCCCCAATGGCAGCAGAGGTTTCATTTCTTTGGATGGGAGGAGAGGTTAGTGAATTCGTTGCTCCTGCTAATCAGGCACAGACAGTTTCAATTCAATTTGCTGGTCTCAGCACATTCGAAGGCTTCTACTGAGGTTCTAACAAATTGTAGGTATTGTCACTGTGAATCTGATGTTCAATTCTTCACAGTTTACAAAGTGTTTTCAGATAGCAGGCAAACTGTCTGAGAATAGTCACTCCCTGATGGCAAGGATTGCTTCATTTTTGTCTTTGTATCTATCTCCAGAGCCTTGGAACAGTGCCAGGAACATAGTAGGTGCTTAATAAATGCTTGCTATAGATTTGTTCACAACAACCTTGTGAGGTAAAGAGTATAAGGGTTCTCATCATCTCCATTTGATATATGAGGAAGCTGAGTCTCAGGGAGGTTAAATGACTCACCTAAAATCGTGCAACTGACCTTGACCAGAACCAGCAGAACTTGAACCCACATCTTGTGACTCCAAGTCCAGCTTTCTTTTGTTTCTCCATTATTTCTCTTAGGTTCACATATTCTGTCTTCAAAGAAGTTTTTTTCTCTACACTGTCTCCAGCAAGATTTCAAACCCAACACACTCACCTTTGAGATGGGCTGATATTCCATATTGTAAACAAAAGTCAGTGATGATTATATTGTTATAAAAGAGACTCAGGAGGGAGATTCTACTAAGAAGCAGAAACAGAATCTTAGAAACTGCTTCATATACTTACTAGCTGTGTGCTCCTCATCTGCAAAATAGGGATAAAAATAGCACCCACTTCTCAGGATTCTTGTGAGGATCAAATGAGATAATACTTGAACATAATACTTGCAAACCTCAAAGGGCGATACAAATATGACCTGGTATTAAATTCTGTTAGAAGTAGGAAGGGACCTAACCTAGTCCAGATCTTGTGAGAAATCTAAAGCCCCTGTCTCTAACAACCCTGAAAAGGGATAATCCAGACTTCCTAAACACCTCAAATGAAGGGAAACTCACTTTGTTCAGAGCTTTTTTATGACTCTATTGTTAATAAGCTCTTCTTTATTCTAAGCCAAAATCAACCTTCCTCTACCTTCTGTCCACTACTCCTAATTCTTCCCTCTAGGATCAGACAAGATTAGTCTAATCTTTCTTCCTCATGACAATTCTTAAAACACTTGGAATAAACTAAGTGTAATGTAATATAAAATATGAGTTCCAAGGAAGCATTCCATTTTCCAAATAAAGCACTTTTATAGGGCTAATGCATTCACAATCTTCTCTGTGCATCATGCACTTTTGAACTAATTCCAATCCCTGGCATAAGACATTTTAATTTTAACAAAAGAAATAAAACTAGTTCTTATTGGAAGAAACAATAAGATGTAACAGGACAGAAAAATAAAAGTCAGGAAATTCGAAGTCTTCTGCCACGAACTGGCTCTTGTGAGCTTGGGCAAACTCCTTTTCAATTCAGTTCAAATGAGGAGTTGTACTACATGCTCTGAGGTCCCTTTGGGCTCTAAATCCTATGATCCCTATGACTGGAGGGTCTTTAAGGGTCCTCTCAGCTACAGCATTCCATACATAGAATCACAAGGTAAACTATATATCTATATTTCTCTTATATTCATCAAAAGGCTTGATCCTCATCTTTGTGAAATGGTTTAGAAGCAGGATTATCTGAAGGTACAGGGATGGACTAAGTGATCTCTCAATATCCTTTGTAACTAACCATAGAAATCTCTGATTTTAAAATGAGGCTTTGGAGACAAAACTGAGAATATTCTAGCAATCTCATACAGCCCCAAAGCAAAGTGTTCCTGCATTTTACTTGTAGTATGGTTCCCTTTGTTCCCAAATCAAAAATTAAAAATGAAATTGAACCTTTAATTCTGCATAAATCTTCTTTCCTTTAGGAATGATCTGGTCTGAATGCAAGGAGATTTGGGAGGAAGGACCCCGAGAATATGTCATGCACCTGTGGAACCTCCTGGATTTTGGGATGCTGTCCATCTTTGTGGCTTCATTCACAGCAAGGTTCATGGCTTTTCTAAAAGCCAGTGAAGCCCAACTGTATGTGGATCAGTATGTACAGGATGATAACCTCAACAATGTTACACTTCCCCCAGAAGTGGCCTACTTTACGTATGGTAAGACATCACGGCTGGACTCACAGCTTGGGAATGTGTAGCACAGTAGGAAAGACTCTGTCTTTGGAAGCAAAAGATTTAAACTTCAGTTTAAGTCTAGACTCTATAATTGATTGCTGTGTGACCTAAGCAAGTCATTTAATCTCTCTGTATCTGTTTTGTCATCTGTAAAATGGGACAATAGTGGTTGGGATCACTACCACTCTCACAAGTGTATTTTGATGCTCAAAAAGAAAAGAAATGACTGGCATGTGGAAGAATGATTAGACTTGTCCTTTGTGGTCCCAGGGTGAAGAAGTAGGAATGATAGGTAGGAAGGAGCTACAGGGAGACAGACTTAAGTTCAATGGAAGGAAAAACTTCTTAGTAATTTGAATGGTTTTCAAGGGAAGAATGGGCAGCCTCAGATAATAATGACGTCCTGGTCACTAGAGGTTCGAGAATTTGAGCTTCTTGGCTGAGTTGAACTACATTTCTGAAGTCTTTTTTTATTATTATTATTATTCTTAGATGTTGTGATTTAGGGAGATATTATATGTGCAGTACTTCACACATATAAGGAATGTTTATTATTGTTTATTGATCATGTCCTTGTTATTGCAATGACCCCCCCCACACACACACATATGCTGATTAAAGAGTTTTTCCTCTAATGGTGGCAATGATAACTCAGTCTGCCTTGTCCCTCTTGTGTAGGGTAGACCCAAAACAATTTCACACACAGCCATAGAGATTTGGTCAGTATATGCAATTCAGCAAACTGAAAATGAGGAGAAGAATCATAAGTTTTCTATAAACAAACAAACACAAAGAATCTCTTCTCCTTACAAAAGATAGTTTTACTTGGGTGATGACACTTTTGTTCTTTCTTTACGGACACATCTTTTTCCCTTAACGAACATCTGGTTTTTCTAGTTCTTATTCAGAAGCATAATGATATTAGTTAGCATTTATATCTGCAAAGCACTTTGCAAATATTATCTCATTTGACCCACACAACAACCCAAGGTGGCAGATACTATTATATTCTTATTTTGCAGATGAGGAAACTGAGGCAGGTAATGGTTAAGGAAAAATAATAATAATAGCACTTTAAGGTTTGCAAAGTGCTTTATAAATTTTATCTCATCTTATCCTCACAACATTGAGAGGTAGATGCCATTATTTTACCCATTTTACAGATGAAAAAACTGAAACAGAGGTTAAATGACTTGTCTAGTGTCATACAGCTAGTAGATAACTGAGGGTAGATTTGAATCCAGGTCTACCTGACTCAAGGTCCAGCACTCTATTCACCACAACATCTAGCCACCCCTAATTCATAATAATTACAGTAATTAGAAAAGCAAGGTACAGTGATACGGCACATTGTACATTGACCTAGAGAATCAGGTTCCCTGGGTTTTAGTACTAACTGTGGCAACTAGCTATGTGACCTTGAGCTAATACTTTCCTCTCTAGGCCTCAGTTTCCCCAACTTGTAAATAAGAGAGTAGAACAAGATGGTCTTAATGGTCCCTTTCAGCTTTAAAGTTCTAAGATTTTTCACATACTCCCCAAATTCTCAGGATTGGAAGCACCTGACTAAAGCCATAATAACCCAATGAAAGTTCCCAATGAGAGAAGTGTGTGTAGGAGCACAAAATGCCCCTCTTTGACTATGATGAAACTTATTTGACCTGGAAAATCTAAGTAATAACAAACACAAATTCTCAATCCAAAAATCCATTATGCCCAGCCAGTGTGCCTGTTAATCAAATTTCCTTAAAATGAATCACATTTTAAATGTTGTAGGGAAGCTTACCATTTAAAGAGGTCCTGTTCTGATTTTTTTTTAAATGAAGGATCTTTCCACAATGCTTGTTGCCACTGATTTGTTTGCAAAGGAAGACTTCCTTAAAACATGATACAACTACCCTTGTTCATTGTGCTCAGCTCACCAGAGGAAGCTGAAAAAGCCCTGAGGCTAGGGTACTTGGTTCCTTGAAACTTGTCCTTTATTAATAACACAGCTAGGGGCATAGTGCTTCTGGCTGATGACATTTCATTGTGAGAAGTTTAAGACTATCCCCAGATGACAGTATTATTACTCAGGTTTTCCTAGTTTGTACTGAACCTATCTCAGGAAAGCTTGATTTGTTCTATTTTATTTTTCTTAAAATGTTTGTCTGAGTTTTTGCAGTGATATCTAGTGAAGAGTGCCCTCTGGTGGACATACATATTTACTTTCAACTATTCTCTTACAACACAAGGTTATACAATTACAGAGTTATAAAATGCCAGAGCTAGAAACTGAGGCTCAGAGACTTTCCCACAGTTATACAGCTCATCACTTGGGAGAACTAGAACAAGAACTCAAATCTCCAGAGTCCCAGTCTCAAGCATCCCCAATATCACATTAGCTGTTATGGTCCAGGAAGTTGTAGGGGAATTTTGATACACCCCATCTATCTCAGACTATTCACAGAAGGCTGGTCAAGCAGAAATAGATCTCAGCAAAAGAACAAAATGTTATTCATTTTACTTTTTTTCTTCTTTCAAGTAAATCCTGACCCACTGAAATAGCTCTAAAAAGAAATCATCCAATATAGTAGATATGAAGTCAGAAGACCTGAGCTTGGATCTTGGTGAAGCAACCTATTACTCCAAGGCCCATCCCCTCTCTGGGCCTCAGTTTCATCCTCAGTAAACTGAGAGAGTTGGGCTAGATGCCCAAACCTCGATCCTTCTAAGCCGAAGGATACAATAACCATTTACCTTCTATGTACAAGGCACTGGTCTAGGTGCTGAGGGTACAAAAATAAAGAACTTGCATTCCTTCTGTTGCATGTGTGGTACCATGAACAAAGAGCATGTTGGGTTTGGAATCAAATGACCTCCACTTAAATGCTGTTTCTGCCTTAGTCTCTTTGTTAACTTGAACGAGTCACTTAGAGTCTCTCCAGGCCTGTTTCCTCATCTGTAAAATGAAGAAGTTAAATTAAATGACCTCCAACATTTCTCCTAGCTCTAAATCTTTTAAGCCAATCAACGTTTCTTAATCAACAATAAGAGCAACTTTTGTGAATGTAGTGAAAATCATTTTCTTGGGATAAGCAAGGCTTCATCTTGTACTGGGAAATTTATCCAGAGATTATTAGAAATACTGTCTTTCGTTCCTTTCACTTTTTTATCTGGATTTCAGGGTTATGGGCCTTCAGTTACATTAGCTAAACTTAGAGGATCAAGTATAAGCTATAATTTTCTATTTATTCAGGTCATTAGGTCTCAATTTAAACAGATGCCTAGTTAACTGAAGACTGCCTTCTCCCTTTTTGACTTGAGTTTGGCTTTGAAAACCAAGAAAAATAGATATTTATTGGCATATTTATAGGGTTTTGTACAGCCCCAATCAACTTACAAGCAGGGGGTTGGAGGGACTTGGGGGATCAGAGAAAGAGAAAGTCATTGACTGCAGATTTCATATGGACAACAGTGGGACCAAGCAGCGTAAAAAGATCCCATGATTTCAGACATTCATAAAGTCCTTAGAGGCTCCCCTCATCATTCTCTGCCCCAGTCAGACCATATCTGGGCAGCTATATTCACATTTTATGAAGGGTATTGACAAATTGGAGCATGTCCAAAAAAGGATGAACAGTTCAACGAAAGAAATGGCAACGATGTCATATAAGGATCAGTTAAAGGAAATGGAGAAAACAAGATTTGGGGGAAGGTATGGGGATAAGGGAGAACATGATTGATGTCTCAAAGTGTTTGAAGAGCTGACATGAGGATAAGGAATTTAGATTTATTCTTAGAGAGACAAATTTAGGCCCCATGTGATAAAAACTTCTTCATATTTAAGTAAATAAAAAAAATTCAAAGACTGCAGTAGCCTCTGGATGATGACACATAAGGGATATTGTAGAGAGAATTCCTATTTAGGAATGGTTTGGTCTAGCAGCTGAGATCTAGCAGATCTTCCAGATCTGAGATTCTCTGATTCACAGTCATTGCTTATTTAAGGAGAAGCTTACATAAAGATTCCACTCATTTAAGGGGTATTTCTCCCTCCCATCCCTGCCAAGTGTTCTTTTCTTAAAATTAAGGAAAGAATCCAGCTAAATCAGTTTCTAGGCCTTGTTAGATTAACACAGTAGCATCTATCTTTATTCATCTTATTAATTTGCATCATATACAATGCATTTTTAAGACAAAATAGACCAAAAGACAAAATGCAACATTCATATTTAAATATGGAGTAGCGAGTAGGGAACTGGCTTCAGGAATCAGGAAGACTTGGGTTCAAGTACTTGAAACGTTACTAACCACGTGTCCCTAGGCAAGCTACTTAAGCCCCCAATTCCCCAATCAATTCTCTAATAGTGTTTTCTAAGTACTTTCTCAGGCATCACCCCTGCTCTTCACTTTCCTCTCTTTTCAGTTGACCTGTAATTAACCAGTTCAACTCCATACTAGCTTCCATTATCAAATCTCTTGCTTCTTTGTCATATCTCATACTTTGCAAATTCTGTGGTTGGAATTCACCATGCATCTCTTCCATTCCTACACAGCTGAACAGAACTGGAGGAAGTCATACAAAAAAGCTGACTAGGTTCACTACAAATTTATCTTATCTCAACTTGGGCCCCCTCTGTAGCAAGGTAATTCTTTTACTCCTCTTTAATTGATTCTCTATCCTGCTCCTCTCAAATTCTGTTCCAAACTCCCTCTTCTCTCCCCAAATATCCCACTTTCCCTTCCCTCTCCCTTTGTCAGATGAGGACCTTGCCCCATACTTCACCCTAGGAAGCAGAGAGCACCTTCTCTATATATTTACATTTCAAAACTCCTTAACATAATTTTCTATTTTCTCCTTCTTTACTCCAGTCTCTCTGACAATGAAATGGACTTTCTCTTTGCAAAGGCCAACCCCAACATGTTCGCTCCATCCCATCTCATCCTAAGTTTACTAACAGACTGCTCGCTCTCTCTGTTTTCCCCTCCTCACCTCTCCC